CTTTTTGGAGGGATGCATCCTTAAGTAGGAAAGTATCTCAAATTGATTTTCAGTATCTATTTCAGTCAGCACTTTGAACTGCTCTTTCGTACCTGGTACCATTACATCCTTGAGGTCAATAACTTTCCCTTTTCTAGTGGCTTACTTCGCATATTAAAATAGCTTTCTGTCCATTATTATTTTGGTGTGTATATTTTATCTCTGATCCAGCATAATACTGGACACTTGGTAGATCTGACTGGAAAATTATTTGAAAAGATGCCAGCATGGCTTGATCATCCCAGACTCACTTCTTGTCCCCACTTCAGACTTGGTTTAAGAATTTACTCTCGGGGCGGGGGGTTGCGCCTGGGTGGCTCAGTCATTAAACGTCTGCCTTTGGCTCAGGTCATGGTCCCAGGGTCCGGGGATCGAGCCCCGCATCGGGCTCCCTGCTCAGCGGGAAGCCTGCTTCTCCCTCTCCCACTCCCCCTGCTTGTGTTCCCTCTCTCGCTCTGTCTCTATCAAATAAATAAAATCTTTAATTAAAAAAAAATCTCTCAGAGAGAGGTTCCTAAGACCACCCTCTTTAAAACAGCAACCCTATACAACTCTTTTCTCATATGCTGCTTTGCTTTTCTTCAGAGCACTTTTCTCTCACCGCCTGATGCTCTCCTATGGGAATGTAAATGCCATACATAATACCGGGAATTTTGTTTTGCTCACTGTTGTATCCATCCCTAGCGCCTAGCAAGCACATAGTAGGCACTCAATGTTTTCGGAAGGTGTCACGAAGGTTAGAAATTGTGCCAGATTCCCTATAGGATATAAATACACATTAGAAATGGATTTAGCCCTTGTGTACGCAGATGGCTAAAGTACAAGATGGGTCCAGGTGGCCTGAGAACTTCAGCAAATATGCTGTGGGTATTTTAATTGGCTTATTACTTCTAGCTGGCTTCTTAGGAAATGACATTTAAGTTGCGTCAGATAAGCAGAGGCTCAGAGGTTGGACAGTTAGTGAGGGTGGTATGTATAAGGAAAGATGACGTATTCAGTTTGGTTAGAATATACTCCTGACGAAGTAAGAAGTTTAGTTAGAAAGGTAGGTTAGATCCAGGGCAGTGGAAAGTCTTCAGATCAAAGCTGAGTTTGGGTTTTGTCCTGCTGGCACTGTGGAAATTGTTTTTTTCCCTCCTTAAAGGGCACTTAGGGGCGCCTGGGTGGCTCAGTCGGTTAAGCATCTGCCTTTGGCTCAGGTCATGATCCTGGAGTCCCGGGATCGAGCCCCGCATTGGGCTCCCTGCTCATCCAGGAGTCTGCTTCTCCCCCTACTCCTCACCCCACTCATGTGCTCGCTCTCTCTCGCTTTCTCTGTCTTGTGCTCGCTCTAAAATAAATAAATAAATAATTTTAAAAAGGGGTAGTTATGTGACATGTTTGGACCTGCATAGGAGGAGACTGAAGACTCAGGTTTGTTTTTATTATTATTAAATGTTTTATTTTCATTGCAGTATGTTAGCAAAGTGTTCTGTTGGTTCCAGGTGTACAGTGTAGTGACTCAGCAGTTCTCTACATGACTCTGTGCTCATCCTGATGAGGGGACTCTCTGTCCCCTTCACCTAGTCCGCCCCTCCCCCAGCCACCGCCCCTCTGGAGCCATCAGTTTGTTCTCTGGAGTTAAAGTCTGTTTCTTGTTTTGTGTGTCTCTTTTTTTTCCTTTGCTCATTTGTTTTGTTTCTTAAATTCCACATGTGATTGAAATCATATGGTATTTGTCTTTCTCTGACATATTTCACTTAGCGTTATCCTCTCTAGTTCCATCCATGTTGTTGCAAATGGCAAAATTTCACTTTTTATGACAATAATATTCCACTGTGCATGTATATACCACATCTTCTTTATCCATTCATCTGGACAGTTGGGCTGCTTCCATAGTTTGGCTAGTATAAATAATGCTGCTGTAAACATAGGGGTGCATGTATTCCTTTGAATTAGTGTTTTTATATTTTGGGGGTTAATAACCAATAGTGCGATTACTGGATTGTAGGTCAGTTCTATTTTTAACTTTGTGAGGAACCTCCACACTGTTTTCCACAGTGACTGCTCCAGTTCAATTCCAGTCAACATCCTCACCAACACCTGTTGTTTCTTGTGTTGTTGATTTTAACCATTTTGACAGGTGAGGTGATATCTCATGATGAGTGTGATGTTGAGCATCTTTTTGTGTGTGTGTTGGCCATCTGTATGGAAGACTGAAGTTTGAATTGTAGAGTAGGTGGGGGAAGGTAGCAAGGAACTTATATTAGAATAATAATATAATTTAAAGATAGGAAGACAACAGTGGTCAGCAAATGGACAAGTAAATCTGATATGGAGAATAAGGGAAATGAAAGAAACCAAGAGGACTCTAAGGTTTTGAATTTGTGGGAAGTAAAATGGTGTTGTCATTAAAGAGAACATGAAGTAAGAACAGATTTGAGAAGGAAGATTAATTTAGTTTTGAACATGTTGCTCTGAGGTGCTAACATTTGAGTGGAGGAATGTGCTTGGCAGTTGGAGAGCTACCAAGGCTTAAGATTTGGGAATCACTTGCGGAGTAGTTTCTGAGAATGTGAAGGAAGCTTGAGAATGTGAAGGAAGAGTCAAGAGAGTACATGGAAAAAGGAAAGTAGCAGAGAGTATATTCTTGGGAAATAAAGAATAAGAGGAAAAGCCAGAGAAAGACAAGCCAGTAGGAGAACTGAGAGAGGACATTACAGAAACCAAAGAAAGATATTTTCAGGATGATCTAAGAGTCCAGAAAGAGCTCTGTGGTAACCTTGAGTGTGATATATGTCTTTCTGGTCATATCATACGTTGTTCTGTACTGTTCTTTCCTTTTTTTTTTTTTTTTAAAGATTTTATTTACTTGAGAGAGAGAGAATGAAGAGAGAGAGAGCACATGAGAGGGGGGAGGGTCAGAGGGAGAAGCAGACTCCCTGCTGAGCAGGGAGCCCGATGCGGGACTGGATCCTGGGACTGCAGGATCATGACCTGAGCTGAAGGCAGCCACTTAACCAACTGAGGCACCCAGGCGCCCCTGTTCTTACCTTTTTTTTAAATATTTAAGTAATCTCTACCCCCATTGTGGGGCTCGAAACCATGACCCTGAGATCAAGTCGTGCGGTCTACCTACTGAGCCAGCCAGGTGCCCCATTGTGTGATATATTCTTGATCTTGTTTCCTTTTTGATAAAATAGTAAAAGTTCTAACAAGCAATAACTGAAGGATCTCAAAGTGCAAGGAGGACAACGGTTAAGGGTTAAGGGAGGTTAGGGATTGAATAAATGCTTGTCTTCCTATCTCACACTTGATCAACTTAGCATATGAATTATTTTAGACTGTCTTCAAAGAATATATTATCACTTTTGTAAGTGCTTTCAGAAAACAAATCAAAAACTAGAAAGAGTAACTTGCTAAAGTGCAAGAAGACAGATCTCAAAGAACTGAAGCTGATCTGTTGAAAGCTGAGTGGAAAGAGTTCAGTAGCATTTTGTCCAAAAGTCAGGGCTGGAAAGCCTTGGAGTCTTTGGTGCAGCATTTTGTGTAGGAATAAAAGAGAAAAATCTCTCTATGAAAGGGAATGTTTAGGTACTCAAATTTGATCATGAATTGACTTGAAATTTTATAATCCACTTAAGAATAGACTTTTGAATATATAAACACTAATGATTGAGACAAGGGGAAAATAAGTACAGTCGGTACCTGGTCTGGTGTATAACAGTAGGTAAAGCATCTGTCTGTATTTTGCTCTGTGTGGCAGCACATTAAAAATAAGAAAGATAATCTGGTTAAAGGACATACCTAAAAGTGGAGACATCATCTGGTGTGTTAAATTGGTACTATGTGGCATCTTTTTTTTAATTGAATTATAGTGGACACAATGTTACATTAATTTCAAGTGTACGACAGTGATTCGATAACTCTACATTCTCTGTGGCATCTTTATGAGGTTATGAGAATAAAGCTCACTGATTGGTTAAGCACAGCAATAGCATATACAGTTAGGTAGGAATTGTCACATGGCTTTGATACTAGCATTTCCGTTTTGGTATAGGAAGAGGAGTTGTTTTGGTAAAACTTAACTTCTTTAAGGTCTGATTTAAGTGAAAATACTTGTTAGGTCTGGATATTCAAATTGAGAATTGTAATTTATTAATTTGTTAATTTATTTTTTAATTTGGATGAGTGATACGATTAGCTTTAAAATCCAGAATAGTGGGGCGCCTGGTGGCTCAGCCAGTTAAGTGTCTGCCTTTGGCTCAGGTCATGATCCCAGGGTCCTGGGACTGAGCCCTTTATTGGGCTCTCTGCTCAGCAAGGAGTCTCCTCTCCCTCTCTTTCTGCCCCTCCCCCAGCTTGTGATTTTTCTCTCAAATAAATAAATGAAATCTTTTTAAAAAATCCAGAATAGCTTATGCAAAGCAGAAATAATATATTTTGCTTTTTTAGTATTTCCTTTCTTTTGTGAGTGAATGATTCTATCAGCGTACAAGTTTGTACCTTTATCTGTTGAGTTGTCTTATCTGTTATCCTCAAAAAGTAGATTTGTTCATGTTAGTTAATACTCAGAGGTATTAAAAGCCTTAAAATATATTACTGTTAAAATTTTCTATTTACCATCCAACATCTTTTTGAATGGGGGAAATAGGGGTGGGCCTAGTGAGTGCAACAGTCTTTCCTGTGTTATATATATGCATCTTTCATACGATATTAGAACAAAAACAGTTTCTGAAGCCCTTCTTTGAACAAAGATAATATCAGAATATTTAATAGTGTCAACAGCACAGTCCTTCCTCTCTCCTTTCCTAGTTTTATATATATCTGAATAATAATTGCCAGAAAGTATATATGAAGAGGTTCTTTGTAAATATATGTTCATGTTTATATTAATTACACACCTGATATGGTGGATTCAGTGCATTTAAAATAAAAGTTAAGTTTATGTGTTTAATTATTGCACTTCTGATCATTTGTAGGCGCAACCTAACCAAACTGTCCCTGATCTTCAGCCACATGCTGGCAGAACTAAAAGGAATCTTTCCAAGTGGACTCTTTCAAGGAGACACATTTCGGATTACTAAAGCAGATGCCGCAGAATTTTGGAGGAAAGCTTTTGGGGAAAAGTAAGTCTCAAAATAATGAGAGAGAGAGAGTGTGTGTGTGTGTTTTAAGTAGGCTCCCAGCATGGATCCCATTTGGGTCTCGAACTCACAACCCTGAGATCAGGACCTGAGCTGAGACCAAGATTCAGACGCTTAACCCACTGAGCTACCCAGGTGCCCCTCAAAATAGTGAATTTGAACTGTAAAGAACTAAAGCTTATGTTGTGGCATTTTGCTTAATTCTTTTTAATCTTTTATCTAATTTTTAACTTTTTTTTTTTTTTTAAAGTAAACGCTAACGCCATTTTGAGGCTCGAAATCACAACCCCAAGATTCAGAGTCGCATGGTCTACCAAATGAACCTGCCGGGTGCCCCTGTTTATTTTTTTAATTAATGAAATAATTATATCATGGGAAAGCATAGAGAAAAAGAATTAATATGTGTGTACAGTAGGCCCCCCTTATCTGCAGTTTTACTTTCCATGGTTTCAGTTACCTGAGGTCAGCTGTGGTCCAGAAGCAGTTGGTCTTCCTGATGTATTATCCGAAGGTCAATAGTAGCCTCACACTATGTTGCAATGCCTGCGTCTTTCCCCTCACTTCATCTCGTCACAAAGGCGTCTTATCTCATCATCACAAGAAGGGTGTGTACAGCACCGTGAGATACTGTGTGAGAGAGAGAGAGAGAGAGAGAGCCCACATTCACGTAGCTTTCATTACAGTGTATTGGTTATAATTGTTCTATTTTATTGTTGTTGTTAATCTCTTACTGGGCCTAATTTATAAATTAAACTTTATCGTAGGTGTGTGTGTATAGGAAAATCTACAGTGTATTTAGGGTTTGGTACTATCTGCCTTTTCAGCCATCCACTGAGGATTTTGCAAAGTATCCCTTGCAGATAAGGGGGCACTATTGTACCTACCTCCCCATATTTTGGGGGTTTTTTCTTTTTTTAAAGAAAGCTTTGCAGATTCAGTTGAAACCCATGCTCTTTAACTGAATATTTGTTTCTCTCCCCATCCATTCTGCTGTTAAGAGACGTTTATGTTTCACATGATTTGCTCTCACAAAACTGTGCTGCAGTGAACAAAATTATATTTGTCTTCATGTGCAAGAGCTTCTTCACGGTTACATGCCTGGGAGTGAAATAGCTGAATCGGGGTTTCATGTCCTCTGCTTTGCCAAATATTGCCTAATTGCTTTCCAAAGTGGTTATACCAGTTTCTGTCCCTATAAGTAGTATACACAAATTCCAGTAGCTCCACAATCTGGCTAACACTGGTAGTATGAATTGGGTATCATATTTTGCTTTATATTCCTGATAACAAAGGAGATTGGGCATCTTTTCACAATTACGACCCGTTAGGATTCTTATTCTGACTTGCCGTTCCTGTTCCTAACTTGTCCATTTTCCTACTGAGTAACTTGTCTTTTTCCTGTTGAAAGGTACAGATTATTAGTTACTTACATTACAAATATCTTCTCCTAGTCTATGGCTAGTTTTTCCACTTTGTTATATTGTCTTTTGATGTATAGAAGTTTTAAATTATATAGACAGATTTATGAATTAAACTTACGCTTTTAAGTATTAATATAAATGTTCTTTATCTTCTGAAATTTCGGATCAAGGAACTGAAAAAAGTAGCAATATGACTTTTTAGTTGAATATACAGATCCTAATGTAAATTTCCCTTTAAATGCCTTTTTATAAAAATATGTTTAAATGTAAAATATAGAATAATTAGTGATCCTTTTAACTTAACTCCATTAGAAAAGAGTTCAAAATGCCACTTTATCTCTTAATTTTTAGGCAGTGAGTACAGAAACTTTTCAAAGTCAATGAGCTTGTGTTTACGTAAAGATCTTGAGAAATACAAATCCCGTAGTATCTTGTGCTAGCCTTATCTGGGGTTTAATCACTCTTACGTTAATAATTTATTCCTCATCCCTTTCAGAACCATATTCTTCCTGTGCCTTAAGCCTAGCGTTAAGCCTATTTCCTCGTATCTAGGCCTTGAGATTGTGAGTTCCTCAAAGAACTCATAATGTTTTATGTGCTTTTAAAAAGTTGGTTTAAATGTAAACTTTTCAGTTAGTGAAGGCCTGGCTACAGATGACATTTGTATAAAGAGTAATCTCCTCTCTCTTTCCATGTTTCTCTAAAGAGAACAAATGTGTGAAGAAAGATGAGAAAGGGGATTAGTTTGTGACATATTGCCAAAGAAGAGTGGGGAAAGATTTCTCTGTTACTAATTTCCGTGTTAGAAAATTAAGAAATACATCATTTCTTCCCTTTCTGTTCTCAATCCAAAATAGAACTTCGCTTCTCTAAGAGAGTTGAAATTGATATTGAAACCTTAATATGGCTTTTTTTCTTGGTTTATTATAGCAGTGGCCAGAATTGTCTTTTGTTATCTCAGTCTGTGCCTTCCCTTCCACCCCTGCTCCCCCATCTAGGACAATAGTCCCTTGGAAGAGTTTCCGACAGGCCCTTCATGAAGTGCATCCCATCAGTTCTGGGCTCGAGGCCATGGCTCTGAAATCCACTATTGATCTGACCTGCAATGATTATATTTCAGTTTTTGAATTTGACATTTTCACACGACTCTTTCAGGTAGGATACTAAAATGTTGACTAAACTAGTTGCTACTTTTCTGAAGAGAGAGCTCTTTAAAAAAAATAACATCTGGGGGTTTATATATTATTTAAAAGTATTTTTAGTGTAGAAATTATAAGCAAAAAAACCCTCACTATTTTTATCTATTTATTGTTAAAAATAATAACTATATAATCTGCTTTCTTCCCCTCACATTTATAATCTCTCTTTGTTAGTAAATATTCTTTTGCATCATTTTAATGATTGTAGAACATCCAGAAAATGGGTATAATGTGATCTATTTAATCAGTTTCCTTTTGCTGGACATTTATATGTATGTTTCCAACTTTTTCTCCTATTGTATTGAAATTTTTGACTTATATTGACTTGCATTGATGCTTCAGAAAGAACTCCTTTCTTTCTTTCCGTAAAGATAATGTGTGTATGCCAACTTGCATAAGCCTTTATTTGCAACTTCTTAGTTGTACATGTAGGCCCCTGCTGTTGGTTAGAACTGCTGTAAAATGTCTTGAATTTCCTTCTGTAATGAAATTTTTTTGTATAACCATATATTTATTTCTTCTTAGCTTTTCTGAGTTCTTACCTCTCAAACATATTTTCCTTGAAGTAACAGTATAATTGAAAATTTGTGACAGTGAATGGAGAATTGAGGTTGTTTTCCTTCTGTTCTTCATTGCTCTGAAGGATGGTCAGCTGTCTTGAGCCAAGTGGTCTGATTGAGCTCTTGTTCCCTTAGCCCTGGTCCTCTTTGCTCAGGAACTGGAACAGTCTTGCCGTAACTCATCCTGGTTACATGGCTTTCCTGACCTATGACGAAGTGAAAGCTCGGCTCCAGAAGTTCATTCACAAACCAGGCAGGTCAGTGCCGTGAAGCAAAGAGGTATATTCTCCTAAATTTGATTCTCTTGTGACCTCTGCCAGGATGGAGGAAACGTGATCGTGGATTAGTTCCCCAGTTGCTGTACTAGGATTGATGTCTGTTTACCAGAGGAATTGACTTATTCAGATCTTATAATCTGATAAATGCTTTCAAGCCACTTAAGAATTGAGCTTAACGTATTTTTTGCTTTTGGTCTGGAGTCACTGTAGAATTTATTATTGATCGTCTGTTTGATTTTTGTCTCTGTCTTGCCTTCCACCCTAATATAAACATGTAAAAGGTTCTATTCATCTCTGTTCCCAGTTACATTTTCCGGCTGAGCTGCACTCGTCTGGGTCAGTGGGCTATTGGGTATGTCACTGCTGATGGGAACATTCTCCAGACGATCCCTCACAATAAACCTCTCTTCCAAGCCCTGATTGACGGCTTCAGGGAAGGCTTGTGAGTATCTGCTGTTTGCCACTTGCTGGAGTCTAGGAACTTAGGGGTGTAAAATTTGATCGTCAATGACTTGATTCCAGGTGTCTTCATGGTTGAAGATTCAAGAAACATATTAACAAGTTGTATTATTTTGACCTTCAGCTTCCATAGGACTTTTGTTATTTAAAAAACGATTCTTTGAGTGAAATGATTTTTCTCTAGCGCTTTAGTTATTACCATGAGCAAACTGTATCTCCTTTTCCAGATGTTAACTTATCTTCAAGACTTTATTCGAAAAGATGCCAATTAGCAGACAGTGTTACCAGTTATTTAACTAGCTCACATTAGCGTGGTTAGATATTTTTAATAACAGCAGGCTCAGTGGCCTTCATCTGCCCGAAGCATTTTGGTTTGGCAGTATTTCTTCAGGGTTTGGGCTTTTGTAATCTATGCTAATATTTATGACTTAAGTTCCTATTTATTCCAGAATGCTATTCCTTTGGGAACTCAGATTGATTATCACTTGGTAGGCACTAAAAATACTAGCAGTTGACCAGCTGTCAGAAAGCTGCTTGCGTTTGAAGCAACGAGGAAAGTCCATTTTCCATCGTGCATCATGTTGGGCAGCAGCCTTGGAGCTGAAGGGGGTGCGTCTCCAAATATCAGAGCAGGCCAACACGCCAGGCTTCCTGGTAGTTGATCTCAGGGGCTTACTTTGCTTCCTGTTAACATTTCTTTTACATTGGTGTCTCTCAATGTTAAATACCCTGTAAATAAGGGTATTTTAGGCCTTTGGTCAAAAACAAATGGTGCTTAAATTAAGAATTTGGAGGCACCTGGGTAGCTTAGTGGTTAAGTTTCCAACTCTTGATCTAAGCTCAGGTCTTGATCTCAGGGTCGTGAGATCAAGCCCCGTGTCAGGCTCCATGCTGGGAGTGGAGGCTACTTAAAATAAAAAATAAAATAAAATAAAAAATTAATAATTTGTATTTTGTGGCCATCCATAGATTAAAATAGGGGTTGGCAAACAATGGCCCACAAGTTAGCTGTTGTGGTATGGAACTAAGATAGGTTTTCCTTTTTAAAGTGTTATTTAAAAAATAACAACCAAAGAAGAATATATGACACAGACTTCTATGGCTTGCAAAGTCTAAAATATTTACTCTTTGGCCCTTTACAGAAAAAGTTTGTCAGCCACTCAGTTTAAAGATAAAGCCTGTGGCATTGTGGTCTAGAGAAGGAGTGTCAGTGTTTGGAGAATATCTTCTTGGAACTGTTCTGTGTTATTTATTTTTTGGAGTGTTTATCTTTGATAAGTACAAAGACTTCTCTTTGTACTTACGCAGAGTTGCCTATTTATTTATTTGAGAGAGCATGCACGAGCAGTGGGAGGGGCAGAGGGAGAAAGAGAATCTTAAGCTGAGTGCGAAGCTGACAGAGCAGGGCTCAGTCTCACGACCCTGAGATTATGACGTGAGATGAAATCAAGAGTTGGACATTTAATGGATGGAGCCACCTAGGCGCCCCCAAAGTTGCTCTTTTAGACGAGAGAATTCCTAGATATCATTTGTCTGTATTAGCAAGCAGTTATAAATTGGCTTTAGTAAAACCCTAAGGCTGGTTACTCTTTTTACAGCTATCTGTTTCCAGATGGACGGAATCAGAATCCCGACCTGACAGGCTTATGTGAACCAACTCCCCAAGACCACATCAAAGTGACCCAGGTGAATCTTGTTTTACATCCTCACCGTGTCTCTAGAGGCAAGCTTTTGTATGTGCTTGACACAGCTGACAGTGGTATGAAGTGATTGGAACACTTACGTTTTAAACCACCGACTAGCTTAGGGAGTTCAGGTGTGTGTGGTGTCTCTAAAGAACTTAACATAGGACCAAGACTGTGTGTTTTCTGTGTCAGAGAATAGTGACCACTGTGTGGCACTTCCATAGAAGCAAAATTTGTATAGAGAGTAATGGTCTGTAGTTTTCCTGGTGTTAGTGTTTAAGGTTGAAATCATTCATTCTTTCAACAAATACCTGCAATTGGCTGAGTAATCGATTCAATTTTTTTTTAATCAAAGGAACAATATGAATTATACTGTGAGATGGGCTCCACCTTCCAACTGTGTAAAATATGCGCTGAAAACGACAAGGATGTGAAAATTGAGCCCTGTGGACACCTCATGTGCACGTCCTGTCTCACATCCTGGCAGGTATGGATCCAGACTATCTCTACTATGTAATTCTCAGAAGAATTGGGGGTTTTGTATCCTGTATGGAGAGAAAGGATGGCCTGGTTTGTGGGGGAGGTTTTAAGCTTCTGGTTTCTTTTTTCATCTTTAGGAAATGTATTTCCTAGTGGACACATGTTGTCAGTACTTTCACATGCGCCTGTGACCGTCTCCCGTTTGCTCTGCAGGAATCAGAAGGCCAGGGCTGTCCTTTCTGCCGATGTGAAATTAAAGGTACTGAGCCCATTGTGGTAGATCCGTTTGACCCTCGAGGAAGTGGCAGCCTCCTGAGGCAAGGGGCCGAGGGAGCTCCCTCCCCAAATTATGAGGACGATGACGATGAACGAGCTGATGATTCTCTTTTTATGATGAAAGAACTGGCTGGTGCCAAGGTAAGACTGCAGGTTCAGAGACTGGCAAACTCCATTGTGAGTTGTGTTCTAAAGGAATAGAACACTTGATGAGATCCAAACCACAGGCTGACATTTACTGAGCATTTACTATGTGGGACATGCCATGCTCAGCGCTTCCTTTTTTTTTTTTTTCCTAAGATTTTATTTATTTATTTGACACACAGAGAACACCAGCAGGGGGGAGCGGCGGGCAGAGGGAGAGGGAGAAGCAGACTCCCCGCTGAGCAGGGAGCCCAATGCGGGACTCGATCCCAGGACCCTGGAATCATGACCTGAGCTGAAGGCAGACGCCCACCTGACCGAGCCACCCAGGCGTCCCAGCACTTCCCTTATTTTAACTCCTGTAATCCTGGGCGCCGGGGTGGCTCAGTTGGTTAAGCGACTGCCTTCGGCTCAGGTCATGATCCTGGAGTCCTGGGATCGAGTCCCACATCAGGCTCCCGGCTCAGCGGGGGGCCTGCTTCTCCCTCTGACCTTCTCCCCTCTCATGCTGTTTCTCTCTCTCTCTCTCAAATAAATAAATAAAATCTTTGACTCCCGTAATCCTGTCCTTGTATATACTCAAATAACCCAAGATAGGTACTCTTATTCTCATTTAGCAGATGAAGAAATCAGGGCACGGCAAGGTTAAGGAATTAGCTGAAAATTACATTAGCTGCAGCCAGACATTCGGCTTCAGAGCCCATGCTCTGTGTCCTAGAACTGCGCTCTCCCCAGCTTGTTGGAGAGAACGAGAGGCGATAAGACAGTGGGGTCCTATCGTGCTGCTGTGAGTAGAGTCTGGTGCTCCAGTCTTCTTTCCTAAGGGGTCCTGGTGCTAGAAAGTTGGATTGCAGAGGGGAGAGGCACTATTAGTAACCAGACATAGCGACTGAAGTGACTGGAGGGTGGTAGCAGGTACCAGGTAGAAGCTAAACTGGAAAGGCCCCAGTAAAGAGAGGAGACCTACAGACTTAAGAATGGATGGGATCAGATTCCGTAACATCAGTGGGTAGGGTAAAACAGGGATCTGTTCACTAATTAGAAGTAAGGGAGTCTTGGAAGATGTTAGCCAATACAGGGCAAACAAAGGTTCTAGGTTCTAATGTGCTTTAGATTCTCTAGTTCAGAATGTTATATAAATTCATGGGCAGCACCTCACTGCCTGGCACATAGTAGATATTAAAAGAATGGATTTGGTGGGGGCGCCTGGGTGGCTCAGTCAGTTGAGAGTCCTGTTGATTTTGGCTGAGGTCATGATCTCGGGGTCCTGGGCTCCATGCTCAGTGGGGAATCTGTTTGGTATTCTTGCTTTCCCTCTCACTCGGCCCCCCCACCCCCTAAAATAAAAGACAAGAAAAGGAATTGATTTGATCTCTTAAATGATTGTATCCAGTGTGTCTCCTCCTCTGTGTGCTCGGTGCCACTTGCCTTATTTCAGGCTTTCGTCACCATCTCTGCCTACTACCAGCCCCGGTGATCTACAGCGCAAACCCGACCATGCCGTTCCTTTGCCTCGTACTCCGATGACTTCTCATTACTTAATGGGTTAAGCCATTCTCCTTTCCAGGCACTTTGCCCTCAAAATCCTTTTGGCTCTCTGTTTTGTGGTCCAGCAGGGCCAAACCACTAGATATCTCTCCGTGCTTTTGTCTTGGTAGTTTCTTTTCCTTTTTTTTTTTTTTTAAGATTTTAAAAAATTTCTTTTAGAGAGGGAGCATGTGAGCAGGGGGAGGAGCATGGGGGGAGGGACAAGCAGACTCCCTGCTGAGTGGGGACCCCCCCACACACACACACACCAACACGGGGCTCAATCCCAGGACCCTGAGATCATGACCTGAGCCGAAACTAAGAGTCAGATGCTTAACCGACTGAGCCACTCTGTCTTGGTAGTTTCTTTGTAATTTAGTTGAGTTTTCATTTCCTAGGAAACCTTTCCAGACTGTTCCTGCTTCCCCCACTCCCAGTTCACATGTGTTGACACACACATCATTTCTAGGTCTGCCTGGGTGTCTCTGAGGCCCTGAATGTGTCTGCCATAGAATGAACCACCTTGGAATATTTTATTACATGTATTTCCTGGTGTGTTGTCAATTCCTAGAAGGCCAGAGCCGCTATACAAAATTGAGCACACAGTAATTACTTTGAATGTGTGACTGGGAATAGAAACGACTTCAAAGCAGGAATTAATAAATCTATGCTTTATCAATAACAGGCAGTTGAGGAAGTCTGGAATGAATTGTGCATTTTTGGTTTTTTGAAGTGGACAGAGTTTTTGAAGTTTTTTCAAGTTTGAAGTTTTTGAACCCCTTATAACACGTTCTTTGGGTCCATTTTAAGAGATTAATTTGAGAGTTGCCTGGGTGGCTCAGTTGGTTAAGCGTCTGCCTTTGGCTCAGGTCATGACCCCAGGGTCCTGAGATCAAGCCCCATGTCCGGCTCCCTGCTCAGTGGGGAGGGGAGCCTGCTTCTCCCTCCCCTCTCCCTCTACCCTTCCCCTCTGCTCTCATGTTCTCTCTCTCTCAAATAAATAAATACATGAAATCTTTAAAAAGAGATTAATTTGACCTCTAAAGCAGTTTTATGTTCTTAGATTTCTGTCTGTTCATGAAAATTTATTGGTAACTCCTGGAATATTAGGGAAGCCGAATAAAAAGTGATTTTTGCTGGATTTTTTTTTAAGATTTTATTTATTTATTTGAAAGAGAGAGGGAGAGAGAGAGTACAGAGGGAGAGGGAGAAGCAGACTCCCTGCTGAGCAGGGAGCCCGACATGGGGCTCCATCCCAGGAGCCTGAGATGGTGACCTGAGCTGAAGGCAGCTGCTTAACCGACTGAGCCATCCAGGCGGCTCCTCCTGGATATGTTTATTTGAAATTAAAATTACCCTTTTTCTTCATGCAATTTTATAGATGAATAATACCTTTTTTTTTTTTTTTTTTTTAAGATTTTACTTATTTGACAGAGATACAGCAAGAGAGGGAACCCAGGCAGGGGGAGTGGGAGAGGGAGAAGCAGGCTTCCCACGGAGCAGGGAGCCCGATGTGGGGCTCGATCCCAGGACCCTGGGATCATGACCTGAGCCGAAGACAGGCGCTTAACGACTGAGCCACCCAGGCGCCCCAGAAGAATAATACTTACTGTGGAGAAATAGGCATCACATTCAGTGTTGATGTGGGTACAAATTAGCCCATCTTTTGGAAGGACACTTTAACACCTATCAAAATGTATAATGGTCACAGTTTGAACTAGCAATTCCAGTTCTAGGGATTTATCTTAAAGGAATACTCAGATAAGCACACAAAGATGTGGATGCAGTTCTTACAGCATTATTTGCAATAATGAAAAATTAGAATCAACTCACATGTCCAGCAGTAAGAATTTATGGTATGTCTATGTGTTTGTATTCTATTGCTGCCATAACAGATTACTACAGATTTAGCAGCGTAAAGCAACACAAATTTATTCTGTTACGGTTTTGAAGGTGAGAAGTCCAACACAGGTACCATCCAGCGAAATCAGGGTGTCAGCAGGTCTGTAGTTCTTCTTAGAGGCTCTAGGGGAAGATCCATTTTCTTTTTCATTTGGATTTGGCAGAGTTTAGTTCCTTGCCAGTTGTAGGATTAGAATCCCCATGTCTTTGGTGGCTGCCAGCTCATGGTCCCCCAGCTTCTCGGGGTCAGCCACACTCTTTGGCTCCTGGATTCCTTTCCTCCTTCAGCCCTCTATCTCTGAGGTGCTCCTCTTTTAAGGACTCCTATCATTAGATTGGGCCTATCCAGAGAGTCCAGGATAATTCCCCCATCTCAAGATCCATACCCTCAGTCACATTTGCGAAGTTCCTTTTACCAAGTAAAATAACATATTCACAGTTTCTGGGTTTTGGGGTGTGAGTAAACATCTTAGGGCTGGGGGATGGGGAATCTTCATTCTGCCTACTATAGTCCACATAATGGAATGCTGTGCAGAATGAGTTCAGTTTACGTATACTTAAGTGGAAAACTGTATAATGAATACTAAGTTTAAAAAATATAATTGTATACTATGTATAGTATCACCTTATTTCTCTAAAAAAAATTATTTTAACATGCATAGGGGGAAAAATTGACTACCCACTAAATTGATACAATTTCTGAGGGCGTAAGTTTAGAGGACTTGAACTTTATGGGATATTTGAATGTTTTGCAATAAACATAGTACTTTTGCAAGGTGTTTGTTATGCTGGGTAAGAGGCTCTCTATTGAGTACTGTAAGTATTGAATGAAATAAGAAAGCTGAGATGAAGGCCTGCAAGGAGCTAGTAGTTGTATTTGAGAAGAGAACATGCATGCAGGCGAAAATATTTAACATAGGCAGACAGCATACATTGTTTTAGATATTTGGGTACAGGCTGTAAGTGCTGTAGGACTTTAAAGAAAAGAAGAAAATGAGCCCTTTTTAATTGTAGCTCATCTGTATGAATGATTTTTAAATTTCCTCATTTAAATAAAAGTAATAAACGTAGACTGTAAAAATTCAGATAGAGAAAAAACAGCTTCATGCATTGTGCTGTCACTTGACTATTCCGTAACTTAGTTTCTTAGTGGACATTCATATTATTTCCAGACTTATACAGACTGATATTCTTTTCAAGTCTGTAGGGTAAATTCCTAGCAGTGGAATTGCTGGATAAAAGTGAATGTACATTTAAACTCTTTGATGGAGGAAAGGATATAATTAGGGGAGGGGCACATGGGAATTGTGCGAAGCTGCACGGTGGGTACTACGTGGGTGTTTATTATTCTTTGTGTGAATAAAATATTTTATAAAATATTTAACTTTTTTTGAGTAGATAACTAAAATTTATCCCCAAGTTTTTGTCCTAAAATCACTCCTGAAGGTATATGAGACTAGGGGAGTGCCTGATTTGTCGCATCCTGGGTGGCTGTCATTGGGGTTTTTTTGGTTGCTGTCTTATTTCGATTTGTTTTTAATGCAGTCAATCTACTTATTACAAAATCCAAATGACAAACGCATATGGATTTTTTAGTAAGTTTAAAAGACTTGCTAGAAGGCTGGCCGAAACCTTGGCTCCCTGCCTCTGCCACCTTCACCTCTTCCGTGGGCCCCACTCACATTTGTGGGTTCCTCACACCTTTCACACCGTATACATAACCTGCTCTCCCTTGCCTCTTCAGCATCAGTCATCTGTTCACTTCAGGTGTTGTAGAAAAGGATTGATTATCTCCCTCCTTCCCACACCGTATCTCCCCACTACGGTTATTTGAGTGTTTTTTGGCCAAATCACTATTCGGTGTGTAAATGATTTTGCTCCTTGCTGTTCCAAGCAATACACTATGATGTAATTGCTGTTGTTTTCTAATACGACCTTCTGCTTTTCCTGGGATAACTGCTGTGTGTGTGTGTGTGTGTGTGTGTGTGTGTGTGTGTGTGTGTGTGTGTGTGTGTGTGTGTGTGTGTGTGTACACATACACATTTGAGAGAGAGAGCGCATGAGCACATGAGCAGGAGGAGCAGAGGGAAAGGGAGAGAATCTCCAGCAGACTCCACTGAGAGGGGAGCCAGACGCGGGGCTCGATCTCACGACCCTGTGAGATCATGACCTGAGTCAAAATCACAAATTGGATGCTTAACCGACTAAACCTCCCAGGCACCCCAAATTGCTTTATTTTTATTTCCTTAGTTTTCCGTTTGTACCTATCACTATCAGGTCTTACCAAGCTGTCTGACATCCTCTCGGTATAATTTTCTATGAAGTAAATTCTCTAAATACAGTAGATACTATCTAACATATGACGGTGACATGGGAAACATGGCTCCCACGTTTTCCTCTTTCTTGCTTTACTTCCTTGTTTGGGTGAAGTGTGTCTTCAAAAAGGTGAGAGGTAAAATTTTTGAGATGTTTGATATCTTAAATGTTTTTGTTCAGCCTTCAGACTGACTAGTTACACAGTGCTAGGTTGAAAAAAACTCTATAAATTGTTATGGCTTCACTTTGCTTCTAGGTTCTAGTGTATTTTTGCTATTTGGTGCCCCCCTTCCCTCTATCCCAAGAAGCTTTTAGGTTATTCTCCTTATCCTTGTTTCGGCGCTTTTTGGTTTGTTTGTTTGTCATGGATTTTTTTTCCTTCATGGGGCTGGCTATGCAGTGAACCCTTTCTATATGGGTATTTATGTCCCTTAGGTCATAGAACCATTCCTGTGTTATTTCTCTGATCATTTCCTGTCCACTTGTGTCTTTTCTCCTTTTCTGGAACTTTATTATATGTTGTAGTAAAAGAACAGTGCAAGGATCGGTTATGTTGAGCCCTGAAGAGTGTGCTTAGCTCCACCCTCTGCACTTCAGGAAGGGGAATGAACGATGGATGGTGAGAGGGGTTGAAATAGGCAAAGAGGGGCACCTGGCTGGCTCAGTTGGTGGAACGTGCAACTCTTACCTCGAGGTTGTGAGTTTGAGCCCCATGTTGGGTTGGGTGTAGAGATCACTTAAAAAATAAAATCTTAAGGGACACCTGGGTGGCTCAGTCGGTTAAGCAGCTGCCTTCAGCTCAGGTCATGATCCCAGGGTCCTGGGATTGAGTCCCACATCGGGCTCCCTGCTCGGCGGGGAGCCTGCTTCTCCCTCTGCCTACTGCTCCCCCTGCTTGTGTTCTGTCTCTGACAAATAAATAAAATCTTAAAAAAAAAAAATCTTAAGAAAAAAAAGGCAGAGAGGGCTTTTCCAATTGGGAAACAACCTGAACAAAGGCAAGGAGGTAGGAATTCTAGAGTCGAGATTGGTGGGAAAGTGGGAGTTACTGGTGGATGGTTTTTGAGCTATTTCATATTCTAAGGATGGCTACGCTGGTAATGGTGAGCAAACGGATTTGGCGAGATAAGAAACCGAGAATTGCAAGAAGGTGGTTTTAATAGATCAGATCTGAGATGGTAAGCAGAATGGAAAGGCCGATAAAGATACGAGACCCTTTCATGAAAGAATCAGCAGGATATAGTGACTGGCTAGAAATTGATGAAGTGACAGCCCAATAGCTTCTCACACGCTTAACCCTTGAGGTGTGCTAGCTGCTCATGCTGCATCACTCACGCACCAGGGACATGGAGCTCTTTTTCTTAAGCATGAGTAAAAGCAGGTAGCTTTGATGAGGGCTTTCTTTGCCTTCATTTACCACCCAGCATTAATGATCGGACTGAGTATGTGAATGGTTATCTTTCTGTCGTCTTACATAAGTGCTCATAATACGTATTTGCCTATATTCCATCTGTATTGCTCCCTGGGAGAAAATGCAAATGCCAAGTAGCATTTTATATGAATTATGCATATCTCTTGATCGCTTGCCTGGACAAGCTTATCAGCATTCATCACCCTGCTACAGGCTTGGAAATGGGAGAGGTTATACATGTATTGCTTTGTCTAATTTGGCACCTCTTTTTAAGAACACAAATTGATGGAAAATTTTAATCCCCTTAAATTACTGAATTGAAAGAACATTTCTTCAGAAGGACTCGAGATGCTTTTTAGTGATACTGTTGATTCTTTTCCTCTTAACATTATTTTTTTCTTTTTTCTATCATAATAAGCCGTGGAGAATTTCTCATCTTTGATCTCTTTCGTTGTTCTGTGCCTTAAATGTCATTTTCCCACGTGATTTGTTGAGAGGTTAATGTCTGCTCCTTCCTTTTTATATGGGTTCCTATTTTTAATTTTGAAAAGATTTTTTTTCTTTCTCTGAAGATGAGGAGGTGGAAAATTATAATATTTGTTTTCAGTTGTAAGCTAGGAAGCTTTTTGTAGCACAGCCATTTCTAGATGCTTGCCTGTAGCTTGCATCTGCTAGTAGTAGTATTTCTGTGATTGAGAGTGCCCTCTTATGGTGACACAGAAATAATTCAGGAAGCCTGACCCATTGGTAGTTACAGTCAGTGTTCGTATAGTACTTGCTGTCTACAGCTTTAGGAGGAGTTGAAAGATGCCACTCCCTCATACAAGAATAACCTGTTAGGAAATTTTATTTGTGTCAGGTGGAACGGCCTCCTTCTCCGTTTTCCATGGCCCCACAAGCTTCCCTTCCCCCAGTGCCGCCACGACTTGACCTTCTGCAACAGCGGGTATCTCTTCCTTCAAGTGCTTCTGGTCTTGGAACTGCTTCTAAGGTAAGATGTTATCCATTTCTACAGTTTTCTCATTCTTTGTTGTGGATTATAGTGGGGGTGTTTTAGATCAGTGAGTTTTGATTGATTTGCTTTCCTCGTGCTTCCACAGGTAGCTTCTGGCTCCCTTCATAAGGACAAACCATTACCAATACCTCCCACACTTCGAGATCTTCCACCACCACCCCCTCCAGACCGGCCATATTCTGTTGGAGCAGAAACCCGGCCACAGAGACGTCCCTTGCCTTGTACACCGGGCGACTGTCCATCCAGGGACAAACTGCCCCCTGTTCCCTCTAGCCGCCTTGGGGAATCATGGCTGCCTCGGCCAATCCCCAAAGTACCTGTGGTTGCCCCAAACTCTAGTGACCCCTGGACAGGTAGAGAATTAACCAATAGGCACTCACTTCCATTTTCATTGCCCTCACAAATGGAACCCAGAACAGATGTGTCCAGGCTTGGAAGCACATTCAGTGTGGATACCTCCGTGGTGAGTCCTGTCTTTGACATTTTTTAGCCTATTAACAAATATTTTTGGATGACATTTAATGGGTCAGAGTTTTGTGATAGGTTTTGTGCAGGATTCGGAGACGGTGAAACATCCCTACCCTCAGACGTATATATACCCTCAAGAAGTATATTACCAGAGCAGATAAAGCATGTTTGTAAATACCACAATAGGTATGTGTGTGTACCTGTGTATATATGTATATATGGCTGGATTCATATATATTATGGAACTAGAAGTAGTTTAATTTGAGTGGAGCAGAAGTTTTGTATGTCAGAGGAGGGAAAAGGTCTAGAAAGGGGCATTAATACTAGATTAGAGGATTTTGAAAATCCCATCAAGGCCAAAGGAATTTGAATTTATTTGGTAGGAAGTGAGCATTTGAAGGTATTAAATTAGTGGAGTGACGTGAGCAAAATGACATGAGCAAAATGATTTACAGAGATAAATCTAGTAGTAGATTATCTACTAATAAATGTATTGCTAAGAGACTAGCTTGAAAAAAGGTTAGCGGTTCACTGTATATAAGCATGAGAGAAGGGGTCCAGACCGGGGGTGGGGGGGGTTATTTGTTCTTTTGTTGGTTCATTTGTGTATGTGCTCCACAAAAAATCCTACCTTCACAAAGTTTACATTCTAGTGGAGTAAAGACAAACATGGTAAGTTAATAAAACAAAGGGCTTTGGATGCTGATGAGAGCTATGGAGAAAAATAGCGAAAAAAAAAGGGGGTATCAGGAAAGTTGGGGTGGGGGTACATGGAGGGATGGGGTACAACTCTGAGCAAAGATCTGGAGCGTTGGTGAGAGCGAGCCGTGCTGATTCTGAGGGAGACCCTTCCAGGATGAAGGGAAGGCAGGTGAGTTGGGGAGAGCATAGCGCTAAGTAAGCAAGAGGGAGAATGCTCTAGTGCGCATTTCATTGACCTGCTTTCTCTTGTGTATGTGAGCAGTGTAATTTCTTAGGTGCTACACAAATAGTTGAAGGTTAATTAGCAGTGTAACTACATAGTAATGCTGCCAGTCCCCTTCAGACAAATTAAAAAAAAGGCAGGGGAGAATAACCTGTGAGCCATGAAGTTGAGGATATGGTGGGGCCCTTACGTGAACTGGGTACTTCTTGGTGGCAAGAGAAGGGGGATGGTCACTTACAAGTGGCATCGAGTGATAGGCCATCTAATTCGTGAGAATGAATTAGGTCAGGCTTTCTGGTGACCTCACCGTAGAAAGAGGTATAGATTTTTAGAGCTAGAAAGGGTATTTGCAGAGACAGCCAATTTCCTTATATCTTCTAGAATCAGAACAAAAACCCCCATTTCCTTGGCTCTTTTTAGATCTCTGTCCTCCTCACCCTGACATTTAAACTTTCTTCAGAGCCTGAAAGCAGCTCAGCTTTAGGTCAGACATAATAACCCCTAAGCGCGGCATTGAGAGTGGGGTCGGGGTCTGTGTTACTGTTCTTGTTATTTTGACTAGGTTGGAGAAGTAAGAGGAGTCACTGAATTGTGTTAAGAAGGTTCTTTCTCACTGATTTTCTTTCCAGAATGTGAATAACAGCTCATTAGCAGGTGCAGAGTGTGAGCACCCCAAGATCAAACCTTCTGCATCTGCCAATGCCATTTATTCTCTGGCTGCCAGGTAAGTGCTAAGGCTGTGTCTTGTGGAGCGGACGTGCTCCTGCCCATTAGCAGCTTACTCACAGAACGTAGAAAACCCAGAGTAGTACGAAGAAGAAAGTAAAAACTGATCTGTGTTTGTATAGTTCAAAATTAGAGTTTCTGTTTTGGTCTCATTCTTTTTATTTTCTCTGTGTGCATGTACATAGATCAGCCTTGCTGGGCTTCATGATTTTATTAATCTTCCCAAAGAAGCAGTTTTAGTTTTGTTGACTTTTGTTAAAAAAAAAAAAAAAAAAAAAAAAATCTTAATCATTCTTATAGGGGCACCTGGGTGCCTCAGTCGGTTGGGCGGCTGCCTTCAGCTCAGGTCATGATCCCCGGGTCCTGGTATCGAGCCCCGCATCAGGCTCTCTGCTCGGCGGGAAGCCTGCTTGCTTCTCCCTATCCTTCTGCCTGCCACTCTGCCTACTTGGGATCTCTCTCTCTCTCTGTGTCAAATAAAAAAATAAAATCTTAAAAAAAAAAGAAAAGAAAAATTAACAGCAATAACTAATAAAATAGAGCAGTTACAACAATTTACTATAATAAAAGTTGTATGAATGTGGTCTTTCTCAGAATACTACACTGTACTCACCCTTCTTGTGCTCATGTGAGATAAGCCTATGTGATAAGGTGGAGTGAGCGGAGTGACGTAGGTGTTGGGACATAGTGTTAGGCTACTATTGACCTTCTGATAATACATCAGAAGGAGAATCATCTTGCTTCCAGACCGCAATTGACTATGGGTAAGTAAAACCACAGAAAATAAAATTACAGATAAAGGGTGACTGCTGTACCATGTTTTGCTTATCTGCTCATCGGTGGACGGACACTTGGATTACTTCCACATTTTAGCGATTGCAGTGATGCTGCTGTGAACAGGGGTGAACAGATCGTCTTCGGGGCCCTACTTGCAATTCTTTTGAACGTATGCACAGAAGTAGTATTCCTGGATCATATGGTAATTCTATTTTTAATTTTTTGAGACACCATCATACTGTTTCCCATGCCCTTTTTGTGGCATCTTTAGGCTTTTTTACATTTGAGATCATACCATCTGCAAACAGGGAGATAATTTTTCTTCTTTTCTGATATGGATGCCTTTTATTTCATCTTCTTGCCTAATTGAGCTGGTTAGAAATTCCAGTACTGGGACACCTGGGTGGCTCAGTCGGTTAAGCATCTGCCTTTAGCTCAGATCATGATCCCAGGGTTCTGGGATCTAGTCCTGTGTCAGGCTCCTTGCTCAGCGGGAAGCCTGTTTCTCCCTCTGCCTGCCGCTCCCCTTGCTTGTGCTCTCTCTCTCTGACAAATAAATAAATAAAATCTTAAAAAAAGAAAAATTCCAGTACTGTCTTGAGTAGGAGTGGTAAAAGTGGACATCCTTGCCTTGTTCCTGATCCTTCAGGAAAAGCTTTCATTCTTTCACCGTTGAATATGATGCTTGTTGTGGGCATTTCATATATGGCTTTTGTTATGTTTAGGTACTTTTATTCCTATTTTAGTTGAGTGTTTTTGTCATAAAAGGGTGTTAAATTTTGTCAAATGCTTGAGATGATTGGGTTTTTTCCCTTTTGATGTGGTTATATTAATCAGTTGTCATATGTTGAGCCGTCCTTGCATTCCAGGTATAAATCCCACTGATAAATGATGATAATGATGTATAATCCTTCTTTTATGCTGCTGAATTCTTTTTGCTGGGATTTTGTTGTGGACTTTTGTATCAGTATTCATAAGGGATATTGGTCTGTTGTTTTCTTGCAGTGTCCTTGTCTGGCTTTGTGTCATGATTGTGCCATCCTCAAAGAATGAGTTAGGACGTGTTCCCTCTTCCGGTTTTTGGAGCAGTTTGAAAAGAATTGGTATTCGTGGGGCGCCTGGGTGGTTCAGTGAGTTAAGCGTCTGCCTTCAGGTCAGATCATGATCCCCGTTCAGCGAGGAGCCTGCTTCTCCCTTTCCCTCCTCCCACCTCCCTCCACACGTGCGTGCGCGCTTTCTCTCTCTCAAGTAAATAATTAAAATCTTTCCAAAAAAAGAGCTGGTATTCATTTTTTATTAAATGGTAGCATTCACCAGTGAAGCTGTCAGGTACAGGGCTTTTCATTGTTGGCAGATTTTTGATTACTGAATCCATCTCCTGTAAGTCTTTTCCAGATATTCAATTTTTTGTGATTTAGTCTCGGTAAGTATTGTGTTTCTAGGAATTTGTCCATCTAAATTATACAGTGTTTTGACATGTAACTGTTCATAGTACTCCTTAAAAGCCTTTTTATTTCCGTAGAATTGGTAGTAATGTCTCCTCTTTAATTTCTGAGTTTTAGTAGTTGGAGTCTTCTCTCTTTTTTCTTAATCCATCTAGATAAAAGTTTGTCAGTTTTGTTTTTGTTTTTGTTTTTTTTTAAAGATTTTATTTATTTATTCATGAGAGAGAGAGGCAGAGGCAGAGGGAGAAGCAGGCTCCCCGCTGAGCAGGGAGCCCGATGCGGGACTCGATCCCAGGACCCTGGGATCATGACCTGAGCCGAAGGCAGACGCTTAACCATCTGAGCCACCCAGGCGCCCAGTTTGTCAGTTTTGTTGATCTTTCTGAAGAACTAACTTTTGGTTTCATTGATTTTCTCTGTTGCTGTTGTGGGGTTTTTTTCTCTGTATTTTATTTACTTCTGCCCTAGTCTTCATTGCTTCCTTCCTTCCACTAGCCTTGGGTTTAGTTGGTTCTTTTTCTAGTTCCTTAAGTTGTAAAGTTAGGAGATCTTTTTTGATTTTTAATGTAACCATCAAAGCTTTAAATGCTCTTAGCGCTGCTTTAAGTTTTGGTACGTCATGTTTTTTGTTTCATTCACCTCTAAGTGTTTTCTAATTTCCTTTGTAGTTTCTACTTTGATCCATTGGTTGTTTAAAAATGTATTGTTTGATTTTCACAATTTTGTGGAATTTTCAGTTTTACTTTTGTTATCGGTTTCGAATTTCATGCCATTGTGGTCAGAGAAGATACCTTGTATATCTTTTAAAATCTGTTAAGACTTAATTTGTGGCCTCCCATATTGTCTATCTCCCTCTGCACTTGAGAAGAATGTGTATGTATGCTGTTGAGTGGAGTGTTCTGTTTATGTTTATTAGGTCTAATTGGTTTATCATGTTAAGTACTGTTTCCTTACTTCTGTCTGGTTCTGTCCATTATTGTGGGTGAGATATTGAAATTTCCAACTATTGGGGCGCCTGGGTGGTGCACTTGGTCAGGTGTCCGACTCTTGGTTTCGGCTCAGGTCATGAGATCAACCCCACATCAGGCTCCAAGCTCAGCACAGAGTCTGCTTGAGGATTCTTCTCTTTCTCCCTCTTTCCCTCAAACTCTGCCCCCCCGCCCCCATGTGCACGTGTTCTCTCTCTCTCTCTCTCTCTCTCTCTCTCTCTCTCTCTCTCTCCCTCCCCCCTTCTCTCAAATTTTTTTTTTAAATTCCTTTATTCAGTACATTATTACTTGACAGGTTGTGACCTATTTTTTCAGTATCATAAATAATACTATATAGTGAATTTTCTTGATTATTTCCTTAGGGAAAATTCTTAGAAATGGAATTTCTGAGTGCAAGGGTATGCATGTTTGGTTAAATATTTTTGGTGAATTACACTCTGGAAAAGTTGTACTAATTTCTTATTTCTAAAACTATATAAGAAAATACCCATTTCCCTATGTTTTCGCCAATACTTGGTATTTTTTCTTAATCTTTATAGGTATTTCCCACGAATAATTTATTATGAAAAGATTCAAGCATAGAGTCAGGGTGACAGATTTTTTTTACAGTGAACATCCATATACTCCCCACCTGGCTTCTACTATTAGCATTTCTTATCCTTGTTTTATCACACATTTCTAGCTATACTTTTTTTTTCTTTTTTTTTTTAATAATCTCTACACTGGGGGCACCTGGGTGGTCAGTCGTCATTAAGCGTCTGCCTTTGGCTCAGGTCATGATCCCGGGGTCTGGGGATCGAGCCCCACATTGGGCTCCCTGCCCGGCGGGGAGCCTGCTTCTCCCTCTCCCACTCCCCCTGCTTGTGTTCCCTCTCTCTGTGTGTCTCTCTCTGTCAAATAAATAAACAAAATCTTTAAAAAAAAAAAAAAAAAGAAATCTCTACACCCAATATGGGGCTTGAACCTACAACCCTGAGATCAAGAGTTGCATGCTCCATGACTGAGCCAGCCAGGCGCCCCTCTATCTGTACTTCTATCCATCCATCGGTCTATCTTTTTGGACACATTTCAGAGCAAATTGTAGATACTAATATACTTCCACCTCAAAACTACAGCTCGCAGTGCACAAATAAAGTAACATGTAGACATGAAAAAAAATTTCAAGTTAGATTATAGGGACTGTCTGTGTTAGGTTTCTGTAGCATTTAAGGGTCTTACATTCAGCTGTTGCTTTTGTAACTGGGAAAAATAAACATTGAGTAAACACAGGCAAATCCAGTAGGTGTTCCTTCTAGTTACAGTGTTCAGGACGTACAGAAACGGTATAACCCGGGAGGGAAGAGATACTGGCTTTAGCTCACATTCCCAGGAGCATTGGGTGAACGTGTATGCATTTGTTTTGTTTTCTTGTTATTTTTGTCTTTGGTTTCAGCGGGTGGGTAGCAGGAGAAGTTTTGGTTCCAGAGTTTCTGGGTGAGAGCTTTGGGAGTAACTGCAAGATCCCTGACACAGGTGTCAAGATGGGAGGCCTGGTCTCAGATTTGATGCTAAGCTACCAAGGACCTGATCTCTTTATTGCAGATGTTTCTTATATCAAACGAGGAGAAAAGGTGTTTATACTATGAGATAACATATCAGAAAGCTTTTGACAAGCTGTCTACTCTTTGAAACTGTAGGTAGATTCTAGAACAGGGATTTGGCAGCATATTGTCCGAGAGCCACCGTTGCTCCTTTAGGCTGGCAAGAGAGAACCTGGTGCTCCAGCCCTGGGACGGGGACTCCTGACTTATTTGGGGACTGAGACTAACGAGTATCAAGTACTGCGCCTGTGTAACCCATCTCAGACAATGTATCTGCATCTGTGGTCACCTGAGAGCAGAAACCTATCAGTTGCCCTTTCTTGGCTGGGAGAAGTAACAGTTCCCTAGGTGGCATCCATTCTGCTCTGTCAGATTTGAGTCGTGCCCTGGGTTGAAGGCACTCATTTCATACTTGAACGTTTTGCAGCTTAGTTGTTTTCATTTTCTTTCTCTTTTATTCTTCCTCTTCCAGGCCTCTTCCTGTGCCAAAGCTGCCCCCTGGGGAGCAGTGTGAAAGTGAGGAGGACACAGAGTATATGACCCCCTCCTCCAGACCTCTAGGGCTGCCGAAGCCAGATGGGAAATGGCCTTTGGAGGCAACCCAGAGTCCACGGTAGGTTCAGGACAGTCCCATCTGGGAATTGGGGTGACGCCACGTACCTGCCTGGCTGCTGCGTGTGCAATGTCATCCAGCCAGAATTAAAGCAGAAAGATGTATAGAGCCCCTGATGTTTGGCCTCTTGCAGCTATAAGCAATTCCAGTTACGCTTCCTCATTGTCACAGTCATTTTGAAAACACACATCTATTAGAAGAGTTAACCTTTGGACATTTGTTAGTGATCTGGCAAAGGAGCATTGTGTCCTCTTGATAGCCTCTGGGTCTGGAATAGTGAAGAATAGATGAGTCTTAATCAGTTTGCAGGTAACAGAGTTCTGTTTCTGAAGATCATACACTCCTTTTCTTCTGGTTCAGAGTGTGTGATTGTGACCAGCCGATCGATAGCTGTACATACGAAGCGATGTACAATATTCAGTCCCAGGCGACACCATCTGCCACGGAGAGCATCCCCTTCGGTGAGTAGCCGTGCTGCCACTTGGAAAACCGTTGCTGTGTCATAGGAATGACACAGCTTGATCTTAGCAGAAACTTCTTTTAAATAATTTCCTTTGCAAAATATCTTTGATCCATGGGCGGCAAAACCCTCTCCTCTCTTATTTCCCGTTCCCACAGCAAGTTCCCTTTGTGCCTTTTCATCCGTCCAGGGCCTAGAGACACTTGGGTTATAGGGCCTGGGCCCGCAGTGCTCGCAGCTCCCTTTTGTTTCCTTGGCTTTTTAGCATTGATGAAATTCTTTTGTGTGTGGGTGGTGAATACTCCATTCCCATATCAACTAGCTTCCCAAGTGGAAAGTTCAAGAAGGCAGCACACACAGGCCCTTTGGCTGATCCTCCAAGGTGAAATGCCGATAGAGATGTTGACTGGATGCTGTAAAATGGCGCTGAGCCTTTGGCGTCAGCAGCCGTCACCGTTGGCGGGGGCAGCTTTCACCCCGTTCAGGAAAGCAGAGCTGCGGGACTGGTGCAGACTGCGTTTTTCTCTGTTCTTCTGTCTCCACCCACAGGGCCTTGCGTGGTGCTCGGCCCGGGGTAGACGGTCGGTTAACTTTGGTGCTATACGTGCGGGAACGAATGGGTGTCAGCAGATGGGGTGTGTGAGAAGGTGGTAACAGCACCCACTTGCCTCTAGGTGAAGGGACTCTGGCCACGGGCCAGGCAGGCGCCGGCCCCGAGGGATCAGAAAATGAGGAGGATGGCTATGACGTCCCTAAGCCGCCGGTGCCGGCCGTGCTGGCTCGCCGGACCCTCTCCGACATCTCTAACGCCAGCTCCTCGTTCGGCTGGTTGTCTCTGGAAGGCGATGCCACCACACGTGAGTCTCCAGGCCGGCTTGGGTTTGTGCCGAGTTGCTGGATGGCTCCTGGTTTACGCTGCAGCAGAGGTGATGGCCTGGCGACAGCGCCTTTGTCACCAGATGGTAGTCTCTTTCAGTCTACACGGGAGGAAAAGCTGGCCCTAGGTCCCAGTTAGGAAGTTAACCCGGAGTCTCATTCTTTGGGGTTCTGCCAGACTTAGAAAAGAGGTTGTTGCTTAAACCCTGGCTCCTCCTGGCTGGTGGTAGGTGGGACTTCCGGTGCTTCTGAGTGTGTGGTAGGACGCTGGTAACGACGCCTGGTGGTTCAGAGCACGCATTCCTGACTTCTGGGCCCTGTTGCATTGCCAGGACGGCGTGCTGGCTCTGGAAGGCACACCGAGTGGCCTTGACCATCCAGGGCTGCCCTTGCACCTGTGGCTGCCTAGGAGCGCAGCAGCCGGGGTGGCCTTCCCTTTGGAAACTGAGGCCGGCGCACAGGACAGCTGGTGAAAGCTGGACGGCATCCAGTTGCCCAAACAGGCAGTGGCCCCACCCACCCAGCTTCGCTTCCTGCGGCTCCACGGCCACTCAGGCTTACTTCTGTTTTCCTCCTCTGTCAAAAGAGAAGTTTAGTGTCTTCTCTGGCCCCGTCTGAAACTTTTTAAATCATCCAGGCACTGCTGTGCGTGAACCCTTGTTGCCACGTGTGTAAAGCAGGACATGGACGCAGGTGTCTATGCTGGGGACAGCAGTGTTCCTGTTTGTGCAGCAGGTGCGTGGTCTATTTAGAAGGCTGCTCCTGCCAGGAGGAGGAGGCGGCTAGCTGCTGAAACCCTGGAACCTGTAGACCCCGGCCCTTTGAGAGCCCCAGGGGCCCCGTTACAGTAGGTCAGCCTGATCCTGGCACACTGTTGTTCTTGCTGCTGTTGAAGGAGGGTTGCCCCCAGATCTGCAACTCTTTTCTGTTTGATTTCTTCTAGACTTCACTGAGGGTTCCCAAGTTCCTGAAAGGCCTCCTAAACCGTTCCCTCGGCGAATCAACTCAGAACGGAAAGCAGGCGGCTGTCAGCAGGGCGGCGCTGCCGCGGCCACCTCGCCACAGCTCTCCAGTGAGATCGAGAGCCTCCTGAGCCAGGGGTACTCTTACCAGGACATCCAGAAAGCCCTGGTCATTGCCCACAACAACGTCGAAATGGCCAAGAACATCCTCCGGGAGTTTGTTTCTATCTCATCTCCCGCCCACCTCGCCACCTAGCACAGCCCGCCCCGCTGCGGCGTCAGAGGACCAGTGAGCCGGCGCTCCTCCCCGGGGGGCCCCTCAGAGGGCAGAGGCTCCTTTGGAGACTTCACAGTGAAGTCTTGCCCTTTCTGTGGGATTCCACGTCTGTGGTTCCAAGATTTCAAGGCAGTGGAATGAACGTGGAGCAGCAGTGTGTTTTATTATCTGTTTTGAGAGTGGATTTGAAGGTGTCCTTCAGTCCCCACTGCGAGTGTGGATTTTTATTAAATGGTTAGCCTACCGGGGGAACAGTCCAGAAAGCGGTGGGAGAAGTACTGTGCTGTAAATCCTCCTGGGGGACTTCAGAATTCCCTGGGTTAAGGATGTGGTTGTGTGTGTGTCTGTCTGTCTGTGGTGGCGTGTGCCCTGTGATTATAAGATGAACCTGCTGTGTGTGTTAATCCTGGGCAGGGAATTAGCACAAGAGGTGTAGGAAGGAATCGTCTAAAGACTTCCATCTGCTGTGCTGTGAGACCCAACCCCGGCGTGTCGTGCAACTCCAGCACTCCCTGCGGCTTGGATTACCATCACATAGCTCGAGTCTTGTGTTTTTAGAACCCCCTCCCTCTGTCCTTTCCCCTGCCTCCTGCCTCCTTGCCTCCTCCTCGGTGTCTGTCATTGGCACTGGGCTTGCTCTGACCAGCCTCACGGAAGCCAGGTGGCTTAGAGGATGTTCTTGACTACGTGTGATGGTGTTGGTTGGTAGGTCGGTGGGGCAAGAAACAGTACTGTTGCTGTATCATTACAGTCATGTGAGGTCCTCGCAGGTGTAACACTGGTCACTCGGAAGCACTGTCTCTCTAGGAACATTGAATCTGCTACAGTAAGATGTATTAACTACCCTAATTAAACAATGACTGATTTGAGCTAGAGGCCTTCAGATACATTCCATGCCCTCCCCAGAAGACCGTCTGCGGGAGTCCGTTGCCTTCCTGCCAGGTGTGTATTCTCATGTAGGTCATGGGTGTTTCCACTTACTGGGAAGGGAAGAACGCTTGTTTCCAGCCTGGCTTTCTGGCCCAGATACCACAAAACTTTGAGGAAGCTTCATTCGTATGCTGTTTACCTTGTTAGGCAGAAGATGTACAAAATAGGATTTATCTGTTTGGTTTTTCTTCCCAGTGAATTAATTCCAGCTTGTGTGGGCGTCTCCCTCGGAACATGAGCCAGGTTATACTTTCCGAAGACACTTTAGTCCTTGCCCTCGAAGGGGAGGGGATAGCACCCATGGTAGCACAGCATTTTGCTGGTAATGAGCGCCAGGCCTCCCCTGGGTGCCGCCGCCGACATGGTTTTCTCTTGGGCCCGTGGCCCTGGGAATGGAGCGTCTCCTCCCTTCCCCTCTTCACGCTAGTCCTCTCTGCTCTTCACGGACTGCGTTCTCCACGGTAATCACACATCCTGAAGTGTGATACACGACTTCGCAGGGGTCAGGGACAGGAGGTGAAAAGCCCAGCAGCTGGCATGGGTGCAGGTTTGTGTGGAAAATTCGGAGTCCAGCGTGGGGCAGCCGTGAGTCGGTTCCCGTAGGTACTGCGGAATGAGCCCCAGTCAGTCAGTGTTCTGGCCAGTCTGTGCCCACCTCCCTGGCAGGCCGTACCCTCCCGCGGCGTGTCAGAAGCAAGCCACTCTTTGATACATCTACCCTCCTCAAAATCCAAATCATGCTTTTGGCTTTAGATCCAGACAGAAATGAATCTCTTGAGGTCCGTTTTCTTAACCATCTTTTCGTCTGTGGAACTAAAACGTTTTCTGACTCTTACTCTTGGCTTTCAGCTGTTCCTAGACCTTTTGGCTTTAAGCTCTTGCCTCAGAGCCATTTACATTCCCAGGGTAGATGGTACTGGACCTCTTGTTGATTGGCCATGGCTCCCCAGTGTCTGCTCAACGTGGTGGAGAGCAGCACGGCCCGCCGTCAGGTCCGGGCACTGCTGGGAGCTGGGCTAGTGGTGGCGATTGGGAAGCAGTGACCTAGGATCTCCTTCTGCGAGCCAGTAAGGAGAGTGTTTCATTTGTGGTTAACACTTAGTTTACATTTTGTTTAGATGCTGAAGAGCCAGACAAAGAACTGGGAAAAATGGCAGCATTTTCCGTGCCTGTCCACACTGGAAGTTTTCCTTGTCTGCAGACATGGTCCGTAGTCTGAAGACGGGTCAAGAGAACAGAGCCCTGGTTCTGCATATCTCTTGCCTGTTTGGTGTATCCCAGATCTTCCTTGGAGACTCTGTCTTTACTCATATAGGCCAAAGGCAGGTTCATCCCTTTTTTCCCAGTTGAGTGCCCCCGTGGCTCCTGGGATCAGCCCTGAGACCCTGCTGTGTCAGATCCCAGGGTCGGACATAATGCATTGGTGACCGGCTTGCTGGTTGGCGTGTCTGCTGTGGGGTCTGTGGGCTGCCCAGGCGTTAGACCATTCTGGGAGGTTTGCTTCCCTTGGGTGCTCTGAGGACAAACCTCGGCCATGCCTGAGGCCGCCAGCGTTGCCTCAGGACAGTTTCCACGTGGGCATTTGTCTTGAGGGGACTTCCAGAACTTTATAATTTCTTAGATTTTCCTTGGACTGAGGAACAAATAACCCTTCTTCATCTTCCAGTTGTGTGGCAGTTTCTAATTCCTGGGCTGTGCTCGGAATGTAAAATTTTCCTTTCAGAAGTGGGCTCTGAGTTTTGTCAGTTTGGCCAGATCCCTCTCCTTTCTCCCTTCGAATTACAAGTGGTTCCTTCTCTGGTCCCTTCCCAGGTGGTGGATAAGGTAAAAAAGCCACTTTGAGGTTTTGTCAGGTGCATTAGGCTCTTCTCTTCAGTGCGGTCTCCTGCTTTCCCTCTGTCTTTCCGGCTCGTTCCGCACAGCCTGCCTCGTCGTCTGCTGCCCCTGCCGGCCTCCTTCCGCTCAAGTACAGGGTTCTTGAGTGGAAAAACCTGTGGGCTCTATGATATACCTCCCTTGAAGAAATGAAGAGATTGGGCAGTTTCTCGTCTCAGCGTTTCCCTGTTAACGTTGTTGTAAATAGTGATCTGTACCTGTGGATGGCCATCCTCCTCCCCCGGCCCTCTGTCCCCCCACAGCCCCCCTGTACAACACACTCTGCCCTTCTGTTCTCTTACCCACACCGCCCCAGGGCCCAGCATCAGTTAGCTCTTCTGTGGATGAACATTTTTGGTGGGGAGTTGCTATTCTTCATACTTAAAGTATTTTATTTTCTCTGTAGAAAAGTAAAATATAACCCATGGTCCACACAGCCAACGTACAAATGAGTTTTTGTACATTTGCTAGCAGAGTAGGGACCAAGCTCTATATTCCCTTTAAGGCACCATTAATAAGATCGACACCTGTTTGGGGTGGTTGGCACAGGTGTTGATGCAGAATATTCTCCTACCTCATGTCATGACAGTCAGGGTTATAGACCTTCTTCCTAAACTGCACCTTCCCCTTCCTGCCATTGGCCTTTCTGACTCTGGTGGCCACTGCCCAGGGAGGAATGGCGTTCAGACCATTGGCCTGGCTGCGTTCCAGTTAGCTTGTTCGTTTCGGCAAATGTCTGTGAGTGATTCCCATGTGCCGGTAGTGCCAGTGCCGTGCCCTTCACTGCCACCACGTGCAGATTTCCCGAAGCCAGCGGGTTGTACTTGGGCCCTCTTGCCCTTGTATTTGGCCCTGAAATAGCCCTTCCCAAGGAGACTGTGCAGTGTGTATTTACAGCTCTTTCACGCAGACATGTATTTCCTTGTAGAGCTGTCCTGGGTAGGAGCGATTCAAGGCTCCCCTTCATGAACCCCGGTTGTCTTCCTAGAGCCTTGATAATGTCTGGGAGATTCCGCAGTGTCGGCCTCATGGGGACCCGCCGTCTTGGATGCCTTGCAATGGAATCTGTGTGGTGGGTTGAGGCGCATATTGGCTCAGAGTCACACAGTAGGGCAGTTAAATATTTAAGCAAAGCATCTGCCCACAGTCCCCTCTCCAGTCTAGTGCCTTCCTTGATCTTTTTACTGACCTGCTTTGAGTCCCTAGTCCCCCTTGTTGTGAAGTTTCCTTGTCACCCTCCTGGGACCTGTCACCATCTCCCATTCTCCTTGAGACTTGTTTCCCAGCCCTTCAACGACCTTTGCAGCTAATCCTGTGTCCTAGAAGGGCTGAAGGTGTGGGAGACAGGTGGATACCTAATGTTGGTTCCTGATCTTGAACAGATGTATGTGCTCTCCCAAGAGCCAGGCAGTAAAATAGATGGAACTCAGTCACTTCTCCGAAATGCCAGCCTTTCTGTCCCAGGGTAGGGAGCCCAGGACCCTAGAACTTAGCATCAGGATGCACACATCACTGTTCTGCTACACGTGCAGGCTTTAGAAATTCAAGCTGAAGTAATCTACGTCAGCGCAAAGTGGACCTGGCACCACTTTGACCTCAGCCTGTGTCACAGTCTTTCTTTAGAAACACATCAAGCCATTTGTGCACAGAGGAAGGTGCATATGCTGAAAGGAGGTCACGGTTTTGTATCGTTGACTCTGCTGTTTAGGAATCCTTCAGATGCAAGAAACAGGTATCCAGGCTAAAGAAAGGAGGGAATCCTAAGGATGCAGGGTGTTTTATAGACCCCGGTATAGGAAGTACAGTGGGTTCTTACACGGAGCTGGGGCTGTCAGAATTTGCACCTAGTCCTTTCTCCTGCTTGTCATGTACGCCCCCCCCCCCGATGAGACACCCCCGTCCGCAGGTCCACACGACCTCCCGGCTCTCGGGATCGCCATGCACAGATTCCCAGGGCCTCTTACTCCTTAAGAAAGAAAACGATCAGCCCAGCACGTTGCTCGGGCCTCTACCCCTGAGGGGTCAGCCTGGGCGCAGGGGATGGCAGTGGCCCCCTCGGGTGGGAGTGGGGGGAGGGCTCTCAGAGAAGAGGCTTCAGATGGGATAGATACCCTACAAGTATTTTAGTAGCAAAACTGCTGTTGTGCGCTGCCTTCCCCCCCCCCCTCGGCTTTCCTCTTACTTGAAGACTTGAGTCTTAGAGCATTAGGCAGCCAGTGTCCTTGGCGGGGTCGCTCTCCCCTGGGACAGGCAGGAGAGTGGAAAGGCAGGGCATGGGACTATATCTGGGACATTGAAGAGATTCTTAGGTTTCGCTTAATTCGGGTTTCTGTCATCTTTGTTGCTTTATTTCCTGTTTTAATTCCCTTTACCAGTCTTGGCATCCAAGATTTCTTACCTCCCTCTTCAGGACCAGTTTCTCCTGTTCCGGAGCCAGTCTGTTCTTAGGTGACATTTCTTTGCCTTCATTTAATCTCAGGTTTTTAGCCTTCTTTCGTATTATTTGGAGAGCAGATCACAGATCCCACTGTAGCCACCCATGGACTTCTGGGCTCTCTTCAGGTTTTCGCGCTGAACATATGTTCATTCTGTGGGCCTGTGGCCCTCCCTGCCCTCCTCCTTCACCCTTGCACTTGGTCTTTGCTGCGTGCCGAGAGCTCTGTGGCAGTGTTCTCAGGCAGGCCTTCTGAGGTACCTCAGGAACTACTTCCCTGTAGCCAGCAAGAGTAGCTGATAGTTGGGACAGTTGCCAGGATATAAACTCGATGTAGATTCTAGTTTAGAGGGGAGTTCTGACTGAGAGCTCTTTAGACCGGAAACCCTTGTCTTCCCCGCCCACTTGCTTTCTTTGTAGTGCCATATCAAAGCCTTTATGTTTCGGATTTTTACAGAACTGCTTCTGCTTGCCTAAGTGTTTGGATCTTACTTACCTCATCCTAGGGCCTGTCCCGTGTTAGTAAGGCTTTTCATAATTACTTGTAACTTTTTTAAGCTATTGGAGTCGTTTGGAATACACAGAAGTAACCTAGTAATCCAAAGATACACACTGATGAAGGAGGCTCGTTAGCCTTTGCATTTGGTATGTCCTGGACTCCGCTCCAGAATCAAGGAACAGAGAGACAGCAACGCCACGCGCCTCTGTGTCCTAGGAAATCTGGGTTGGTTCCCCCGAGGGGAGTACCGGTGTGTTTTGGTTCTGCTAAGTAGCACCAGAGTAAGAGGTGGGGAGATAGGGACGGGTGGAGGCGCATTCACACTCAGATGGGAACATGGGTCCTTCGGAAGCGCCTGCCGATTGCTCCAGAGTAACAGATGTCTGGACATCTCCCTGCCCCTTCCCTTCCCTGGGGTAGTGCTTGAGAAAAAGGTGGTGGACCACTCCCTCTTTTTGTACAGAGCAAAGGCTGAAAGCCAACCTCCGCGCTCCTACTGATTAGGCAGCCAAACAGATCAGCAGAGTTGTGATCACCTGGCTCCGTGTTCTTGACTTCTTCCTACAATGAACATGGGAGGCACCTCTGCATTGCCTCTCACAAATTTTCCTTCCAGGGGTGGGGGGCGGGGGTCGCAGGCCAGACTGCTTGCCCACGCTTTGTGCCCTTACGTCCATGTGTGTCTGCTCCCTCCTCCCTACCTACCTCTGACCCTGTTGTGGGTGAGGGTGGCCCTGCTCACGGCTGTCTTGAAACTGAGGAGGCAGAGAACTGCTTAGGAGTCTGGAGACCACGTGTTTTCTCTTCCTTGGCTTCCCCCTGCTGTCTGGGTAAGCCTGTAGGCCCAGCGCCCGTGAGACTGGATGCCTCCTGACCCACCCGTCTCAGTGTCTTGGCCTTGACCTCCTGCTGAAACGTGGTAGAGGCATGGCAGCTAGGAGGTACCTCCTACATTTGCTTTCTGGCTGTGGTGACTTGGAATTTTTAACCTTATATATCTTTTTCCTTTATTCAAAACAGAACAATTTTTAGCACACCGAAAAAAAAAAAAAAGCCAAACATTTTGTGCCTTTCTAAGGCAGCACTGTATCCCAGGCTGCATTTTAGGACTTAATATGGAAATACCAGAGTCTTAGCTCCTCTACCTTGAGCGTCAGCCCTTACAGTGTAGGGGGGAGGAGGAGACGCTGTGTGGGGCTGGGGAGAGGGCGCATAGGTGCAGCGGGGCAGCAGCCCCTCCCCCCTGCTGTGGTGCCGTGTAGGAAGAAGCCAACGTTACCCTGGGAGCATCTGGTTGATTCCATTCAGAGTCGTAGTTACAGGTTGAATGATCTGTCTCCAGCCAGAGGAGAGGGACTGTTCTAGGATTCCCAGGAGTGCCCTGGACCACTTGGCACGTGCCAGCCTCCTGGTCCTGCCTGGTAAGGCACCAGCTGCATGCAAGAGTGGAGGATGGGCTCTACTGACAACGGGGGGTTGTTTCTTTGTGCTGGATCCTGAACTGGCCTACCTCCTGCCTCTCCCTTCAGACTCGGCTTTCCTCTTACTTGAAGACTTGAGTCTTAGAGCATTAGGCAGCCAGTGTCCTTGGCGGGGTCGCTCTCCCCTGGGACAGGCAGCAAGGCCTGCGCGCCCGAGCCCGGCCTCAGGCTTGTGGCCGCTGTAGGTCTCGGCAAAGAAAAAAGACAAAATGCTTTCTACGCGATATTTTACTTCTCCCTTTCCGACCTTTTCAGTTCTTCCCTGCCTTTTAACTAATAAGGAATTGGGAGAAACCCTTCTTTTTCAAGTCCTCCCTCTTTAGGATTTTGACATTCTTGGCCTGGGTGGGGCTGAGGAGAACTTGATGCTTTCTCCAGAATAGAGAGTCCCAATTTGTATATCAGTGTTAAAAATAAAACGAAAACTTAGATGAGATTTTTGTGGACTATTTTAAAAATGTGTCATTAATATAAAAAAAAATTTATATTAGCAGTATTTAATCATTCTCACCTGTAAAGAATAAGAAAAACAGAAGGTAAATATTCTTACAGAGAAGAGCAGAGCTTTAAGATTCATTTTCAAGTCCCTTTTGTTTTGCCAGTGTATTAATGTTTAGAGGTCTGTTATACTAATGTTATTTATTAATTTTTTTCATTTCCATACAGTTAACTAAAGAGCTTTTTCAAGCACCCATGTCTGTAAAAAAAAAAAAAAAATATTTTTAAATAAAGTTTCTTTTGTTGTAGCAGACTGGAGTTCTTGCTCTTCCGTTGGGGTGGGAGAGCGACAGACAGACTCGGCCAGCCCAGTCATCACTGTGAGTCTACTGCTACCCCAAGGCAGGTCTGCGCGGCAGGAAAGCCGAGAGAAGGGCCCATAGCTCCCTGCCCACAGCCCACCAGGCCCTGCAGGCTGCCTCGGGCAAGGCGGCTTTGCTGCTGCTAAGAAGGGTCATTATTCTCTGTGGTAGAACTTGAGCCATTTGCTCAGAAACAGAGGTAACCCTGGTCCCCGCTCCCAAATGCAAAGGGTTTCGTATTTCTTTCGGTGCAGTGCCAGGTTTGGAGGCCCCAGGCTGCTGTGGTACCATGATGAATAAAAAGTAGTGTGACATTCCTGGGATAATTAAGCTTTATTTTTCATATATATATATATATATATATATAAAGGAAATTTGCAAATTTACACCCGACCTAATAAAACCACATATACATACACTCACACGCACATGCAGATACACATACGCACCCCAAAGCTCTAGCCAGGCCCGCTTCTCGTCCCAAAGTACCATTCTCCCATGAGGGCCCTTCTGCCAGGGTCTAATCCCATTAGCTCAGTTCGTCGAAGTTTGGTGCTAGTATAATTATAGTCTTAATCCTCCTAAAAGACAGTCTGGACCTCATCTCTGTCCCCTAACCTTACCACCTTTTAGTCTGACATGACCCCTTGCCTGGGCAGTGGGAGCCAAATTGGGGGGGGGGGTGTTGGGCTCAAT